AACAGCTAAATCATGTGCATACATCACGTCTCATCGATAATCAAAATTCAAAAACCTCTTTCTCTCAACCCAAAACCCTCATTTATCTCCCACATTTCAACTGATTTTCAACGAAAATGCAAACATTTTAATTGATTTTCGTTGAATCAATCACGAAAACACTTGAAATGTCGTCGAAAACAGTGAAATCGCCGTCAAAGCCTTCATCTAAAGGTATCAAAACTCATACTGATGTGTTTTTCATCAATGTAACTCGATTTTCATGATTATCGAGTTTTTCTACTGTAATTTTGGTCAATAAACACTAAATATGTCTTATTCTAAAGATTTTTTTGAACGAAAACCCTAGTTTTTTATGTCGATCAAGTTATTGAAGGTTTTCTGTTTTGATAACACTCGGTTTACAACTATATCGAGTTATTCTACTGTTTATTAGATCAATATACACGAAATCTACATTTATTCAAAAGTTTTTTGTGTCCTAAAACACTAGTTTTCGATGTCGAACAAGTTATTGAAGGCTTTTTGTTTAATAACACTAGATTTTACAACTATCAATGATTATTTCTCGATTTAGTATTCTATTATTCATGTATTATGCAAATAAAGTATGTTTGGACTTGCAGAGGTTACTAAAACGTTTGAAATAAAATATTTGAGAAAGAAGAACGATCCTAAAACTGTGAATGTAGGTGATAAATCATATGTGTTCTATGACTGTGTTCAATCATATATGATTTGATGATGTTATAATTTGCAAAAGGATTTACAGACACTAAATCATATATGATTTACATATGTTATAATTACATGTGATTTGACGATCAATTCTTAAATATGATTTGTTGATGTTATAATCTCCAAAATTATTTACATAAATTGAATCATATATGATTTACATAGATTGTAATCACATGTGATTAGAATAATAAATGTGATTTTTTCATAATATCTCTTTTACTAACGTCTGATAAAAATTAATGGTACTATTTGCTTAAAATCAAATATGATTATTGTTTGTATTTATGCATATCTGACGAAAATAAAGAAAAGAATACATAGACAACAACTAATCCAAAAGGATTCACCAAAAAAACAGCAAAAAGGGGAAATGTAGAAGTGCCAAAAGTGAAACAAATAAGAAAATCAACAAAAAGACTGCTGAAAAAGGTATATTTCAATCACAAATGATTATAAATATTAATATATATATATATATATATATATATATATATATATATATATATATATATATCAATACTCCAAAACGATTCACCAAACACATATGATACTAAATTGTGATTGGATTTCCTTGTGTGAATTATAAATGCTAATCAGATGCGATTAAAAAATATTTTAAGATTTTTATACATATAAACATATGTTAATCACATGTGATTAACATATGATTATATACATAAACATCCTAGGTGATTTTATTATATTGACGAAAGAGATTCAATCACATGTGATTAAAATATGTTATAGACACCATATTCTTTTGTTTTAATCATCTATGATTTTCTAATTATGTCTGAATTTATATATTTCAGAACAAAACATAGAAGTTCCTAAACATGAACACGCAAGAAATCAACAAAAAGTACTGCTGAACAAGGTATATTTAAATCACAAATGTTTATAAATATTAATATCAATCAATACTCTAAAAGGATTCATCAAGACATATGATACTCATTTGTGATTGGATTTCCTTGTGTGTATTAGAGATGCTAATCACGTGTGATTAAACAATATTTTAGAAATGTTAATAACATGTGATTAATATATGATTATATACATAAACATCCTAAAATATGATTTAGTAACATGTGATTAGAATCTCTAGTACATACAAGAAAATCCAATCACAATTGAATATCCTTTGTTATAAATATTGTACGCTTTATTTATCTTGACTTGTTTTACTCATATGTGATTTTTATTATATAGACAAAGGAGATTCAGTGACATGTGATTAAAATCTATCATGAACACCTTATGCTTTTGTTTTAATCATATATGATTTTCTAATTATGATTGAATTTATACATTTCAGAACAAAACATAGAAGTGCCTAAAGAGAAACAAGCAAGAAAATCACCAAGAAAGACAGCTGAAAAAGGTATATTTCAATCACAAATGATTATATATATATATATATATAGATATATATATATATATATATATATATATATATATATATATATATATATAATATATATCAATACTCCAAAAGGATTCATAAAAGACATATGATACTCACTTGTGATTGGATTCTATTGTGTGTATTAGAGATGCTAATCACATGTGATTAAACAATATATTAGGATTGTTAATAACATGTGATTAACATGTGATTATATACATAAACATCCTAAAATATGATTTAATAACATATGAATAACATCTCTAATACACACAAGGAAATCCAATCACCAGTGAATAGCCTTTGGTATAGATTTTGTATGCTTTATTTTATAATAACTTGTTTTAATCATATGTGATTTTTATTATATAGACAAAAGAGATTCAATCACATTTTATTAAAATCTATGAACACCTTATGCTTTTTCTTTAATCATATATGATTTTTTGTAATTATGTCTATATTTATATATTTCGGAACAAAATAAATAAGTGCCTAAAGTGAAAAAAAAGCAAGAAAATCAACAAGAAAAACTGCTGAAAAATGTATATTTCAATAACAAATGATTATAAATATTAATACTTATTTAATCACATGTGATTAGAATATGTATGAAAAATGTATGTTTATTTATCATTACTTGATTTGATTCATATGAACTTTTCTGATTATATTTATATTTATACATCTTAGAGATCACTAAACTAAAAAAAATTACTGAAGAGGAAACAACAGAGAAGACATCTGGAAAGAAAAAAGAAAAAGGTATAATTCAATCACAAATTATTAGACAATTTAACATCTTCTCTACATTCAATCACATGTGATTAACATATATTATGAACAATTTGTGTTTATTTATCAAAACTTTGTTCAATGACATATGATTTTATATTAATAATAATGTGTGAAACATCATAGAAAAAAGACATTTAACCACATGTGAACATAACACATTATTTTTTTAATCAAATGTAATTACCATCTTTTATATGAAAAAGTCATGATCAGTCACATGTGATTAACATCTATCAAATAACAATGTATGTTTTATTATAATAACATTATTTAATACTTTGTAATTTATATATATATTTATATGTCTCAGAAAAATCTAAAGGAAAAGGAAAAAGAGTCATTGAAAAACTTATTACTTCAATCACATGTGTTGAAAAATGTATACTTATTTATTATTGATTTGTTTATACATGTGATTTTCATTACAACTACCGTACCAGTTGAAGAAAAAACCAAGTCAAAAAAGAGAAAATATGTAACTTAAAAAGAGAAAAACAAATTGTTGATGAAAGTGAAGATTCAGAATTCAAAAAAAGAGGATATATAAAGAAGAAAGTAGAAGATAGTGAAAAAGCATTTTGACACAATTAGAAACAAGTATATATTTTGTGATTACCATCTTTAATATATTGTTTTTTAAATCACATATGATTAATATATGTTATGATAAAAAAATGCCTTTATATATACAAAAGACAAAAATTACATGTGATTATATTTATTGTGATTTTCAGTTAAATCACATTTGATTTAAAACATCACACATATATAATAACATATGATTATGATAATCTTATATATATATATATATATATATATATATATATATATATATATCTATATATATATATATATATATATATATATATATATATACAGAAAACAAAAATCATATGTGATTATATCACATGTGAATTACATATCACACACACATAATCACATATGATTTCAATAATCTTTTATATATACAAAACACACAAATCACATGTGATTATATTTCCTGTGTTTTTCTGGTAAATCACACGTCATTCAAAATATCACACATATATACTAAGTTCATTAATTATTCTAATCACCTATGAATTTAAATCATCATTTGTTGTATTTGCCTATAGGTGTTCACCTGGAGCATTGTTGTTTGTAATACAAAATTTTAATAATATTCAGAAAGATTGTGTAAAAAAGATGGGTTTTGGGGGGCTTTTAAAAATGAAGTTGACAGAGGTGTCGGGGCATTAGGTTGTTTCGTTCTTCAGAAGTTTGATTCCACCACAAATAATAATAATAATAATAATAAAACGGATCTTGGAAAAGTAAAAATTGATGTGACTAGAGAATCAGTCCATCAAAATGCTTGGATTTCCGTTGGGAAGCATTGAGTTTTCAAAACTTCCATTCAGAAAAAAAAACCGATAAAACATATGAAGAATGGACAAACCAATTTGAAAACACGACCATGATTCGTCTACAAAAGACAGAGATGAAGATCGTTTCCTCAAACAAAGCAGATATGAACTTCAAGATGAATTTTATATCTTTGTTGATCAACTCTTTGATAGAATCAAGCTCTTCAGGAAAAGCAAACACGCACCCGTTGAACTACATAACGAAGAATACAAAAATAAACAAAATTGATTGGTGCTCATATTTGATATAATTTTTGGTTAAAACCAAACAATCCTTTGATCCATCCTGTGCAACAAGCAATTTTAATGGACCATCTTCATATTTGGTGGTACGTTTAATAACTTTGCTTCTATATCAATATATTTATAATAATCACATGTGATTGAATAGATATAATCACATGTGATTGAAAAAGTAATTTTTTTAACCACATATGATTTTCATTATATATAACAGATGTTATAACATGAATAGCTATAATCACATGTGGTTAAAAAAGTAAATTTATTTATTCACATATGATTTTCAGTATTTATAATAAATATTAACATCTAAAATAAATGGCTATAATCATATGTGATTGATCAAATAAAGTCATATTAAAATTTGGATTGTTATAATCACATGTGATTTAATCACATAGAAGATGAAGATGAGGGAAAATTATGACAAGCAAGAGCTGGGAAATTTCGGAACAGGAGAATTGAATGAGGAGTTCATAGAGGAACAGTTAAATGAGGAGGTAAACTTAATTAGTTTCATTGTTTAATAATCTTAATATTTAATCATATATGTTAATATATACTTTCGTTCATTTGTGATGTAGGATTATAAAGAAATGATTAGACAAATGACGAAGTTTAAGAAGCTACAAATGTTAACCAATAATGGAGTCGATAAATTCCATGAAAATATAACATTAAATCATTTGAAAAATATTTTGGAAGATATTTTTGGTGATGACAATGAAGATGGTGAAGAAGAAAAAGGAAGTGATGATGATGATGATGAAAATATTAAAGGCGGTGAAAATGAGGAAGAAAACGAGGATGAGTGAGGTGAAGGCGGTGAGAATGTTATAGGAGAGGAAAATGAGGAAGAAAACAAGGATAAGGGAAGTGAAGGTGGTGATAACGTTACAGAAGGAGTGGAAAGTGAAGTAGAAAAGAATATTGAAGGAGGGCAAGATAATGAAGGAGGAGGTATGCAATATAATATTTTTCTGAATCATATATGATTATTATAAATATCTTTATAGAATCAGATATGATTAACTACATATTTTATAATGTTATAGGAGAGGAAAATGAGGAAGAAAACAAGGATAAGGGAAGTGAGGGCGGTGATAACGTTACAGGAGGAGAGGAAAATGAAGCAGCAAAAAATAAGAAAGGAGGGCAAGATAATGAAGGAGGAGGCAAGTAATAGAATATGTTTTGAATCATATATGATTATTATAAATATCTTTATAGAATCACATATGATTAACTACATATTTTATTTATATACAGGTTTGGGTGGAAATGTACATGAAGGAGTTGGTAAAAAATTAGTGATGATAAGGGAGAAGAGAATGTTCAAAAAACAGGTAAAACCATTATATATTAGTAAATAATATTTGAATATTAACTACATATTTTATTATATGCAAAATTGATGGTGAAAAATATTGGTGAAGAACAAGGTACTGAATATTGTTATCTGTTAAAAATATTGTATTGAAGAACAACTTTTCTTTTTATTTATTTTAAATTCTGTTAAATATAATTTGTACAGTTTAAAATTTTTTTAGATGTAATTTTATAATCAAATATGATTAAATTATATGTAATTTGATAATCACATACGATTAAATTATATGATAAATATTCTCTTTAAAAGTTGATATGTTTTTGTATAATCACATGTAATTATTTAAAAACATATCAATATTTATACTTAATCGAATGTGATTAAATGAATATAACAACAAATGATCAAATGATTATGATATCCTATGATTATAAAAATAAACAACCCTTAACTTGTTTTAATAATATCTTATGATTATAATTCTTAAAAATACATGAAAGAGCTTCAATCATATATGATCATATATAATTACATATGTAATTTGTACAAATTAAAATTCTTTTGGATGTAAATTACTTGAATCCATTCCTTCAATATTCTCGATAAATGTTGATATGTTTTTTCTTTAATAACATATGACCATTCAAAAAAAATATTGATATTTATATATAATCACATATGTTATAATCACATGTGATCATATTCACATATGATTATATATGATTACATATGTTATAATCACATATGATTATATTCAGATACAATTCCACATGATTACATATGTTATAATCACATATAATTATATTTTTTATAATCACATGTATTATAATCAAATATGATTAGATATGTTATAATTGCATGTGATTAACAATTTACCAAATTAAATTTGGTGGTGAGGAAGATGAAGTAGGTGGTGAGGAACATGATGTTTCTGGGAAATATGAAAGTGGTGATAATGATAAAGGTGCTGTGATTACATATGTTATAAGCACATATGATTATATTAACATATGATTATATTAACATATGATTCTACATGATTACATATGTTATAATCACATATGATTGTATTTTTTATAATCAAATGTGATTAAAATCACATAATCACATGTGATTATAATAACGTATGATTGCATATGTTATAATCGCATTATATTAACAATTTTTTTAATTATTTTTAGGTGTGGAGGGTAAGAATCTGGATGGGAAGAATGCAGCTGAAGAAAAACAAAATGTTCAAGAAGGAGGTAAATATGAGTATCACATGTGATTTCTAAATTCATATGTGATTAATTCACATATCTTTATATATCATTAAATATGTTATAATCACATACGTTATAATCACATGTGATTATATATGATTAGATATGTTATAATCACATGTGACTACATATGTTATAATCACATATGATTATATTCACATATGAATATAATATCTATGTTATAATCTCATATATCAATATAATATCTTCGTACAAGTTACAAATGATTAACAATTTTTTTAATTATAATCACATGTGATTATATATGATTACATATCTTATAATCACATGTGACTACATATGTTATAATCACATATGATTATATTCACATATCAATATAATATCATTGTACAAGTTACAAATGATTAATAATTTTTTTAATTATATTCAAGTGTGGAGAGGAAAAATCTGGAAGGTAAGAATGCTTATAAAGGAAAAGGAAAAACTATATCTGTACAATGTTTTGGAGGAGGTAAATTTGAGTATATATTTATGAATTATATATGATTATTAAAAATATATTTATACAATCATACATGATTATTAACATTATATTACTTATATACATAATTGATGGTAAAAAATGTTGGTGAAGAAGAAGGTACTGAATATTATTATCTGATGAAAACATTCTATTAATTGTCAGATAATAATATTCAGTTGTGAATGGGAAGAATATGTTATAATCAGGTGTTATAAATCATTGAATAATAATATTCAGTTGTGAAGGGGAAGAATATGTTATAAATTAATGAATACATTCATAATTTCTGTATTAAATATTTTAAATTATGTTGTTGTATGTAATTTGTACAATTTAAAAGTCTTTTGGATATAATTTGATAATCCTATATGATTAAATTATATGATAAATATTATCTATAAAAGTTGATATGTTTTTGTATAATCGCATATAATTATTTAAATGATCAAATGATTATGATACCCTATGATTATAAAAATAAACAACCCTTAACCTGTTTGAATAATATGTGATTACAATTCTTAAAAATGCACAAAAGAGCTTCAATCACATATGATTATATATAATTACATACGTTATAATCACATATGCTTATATTTGTTATAAATCACATGTTATTATAATCACATGTGATTATATTCACATATGATTATATATGATTACATATGTTATAATCAGATGTGATTATTTTGTTATAAATCACATGTGATTATAATCACATATAAGTGTAACAACCTATGTTATACTCACATGTCATTATAATCAATCACATGTGATTATAAACACATATAATTGTAACAACCTATGTTATAACCACTTGTGATTATATGCACATATGATATGAAAATTGTATAGTTTTTAAAATCATATATGATAAATACTATTTTTTTCATTTGTGTGATTTTTATAGAAAATATAAATACATAAATTATTGAAAAAACAATACAAAATGTTGTAACAAGTATCCCTGGCAACACACAACAAATCCAAGACCCACTGTAACGCCCTGATTCTCATGTACTGATTTAAATAAGAATTTCTTTGATTTCAAGGTCTACTCGACGAGTTGGTTGCCCAACTCGTCGAGTAGCAGTGGGTTGGTCCACGTATTTTAGTGACCTACCCGCCGAGTCCAAGAAGGGACTCGACGAGTAGGAGCTGGCAGATGAAACCCTAAATCCCGGGGTTTTGCACCCTATTTAAAGAATCATAAGCTTCCTTCAGCCTCTTACAGTCTCTTGAGAGTCCAGAAAACCCTAATCCGTGTGGTGCTTCTTTCTTGTGTGTTTTAAGCTTTGGAAAGTGGATCTTTGAAAGAAGAGCTTGGAGGGCAAGAGGCTAGAAGAAATAAACGAGTGGGGATCTGATATCTACCTCAGTTAGCATCTTTTGGAAGGTATCAAGTTGTTACCTTGACCTCTTTTCATTCTAGATCTATTTTGGGTGGATCTTAGGGCTTTTCTAGCTAATTAGGAAGCCTTTCTTATGTTTGAGCTAAGATCTGAGGTTAGAACCTCAGATCTGAACTCTCTTGGGTCTCTAAGTCCATAAAGTTTCCAGATTGTGCAAGAATGAGACTCTCCTAAGGTGTAAAGCCCCATTAGAAGCTTAGATTGGTCATTTAGAGTCTCTCTAGGGCCTTGCATGCATGTAAAGTTTGCAACTTTACGTGATAAACATGCCTTAGAAGCTTGGATCTTTAATCTGGAACCTTTGCATGGCTTAAAAAGCATTTGTATGGTTAAAGGATTGAAGGGACTCGGCGAGTCGCAAGGTCGACTTGGCGAGTCATATGAAGATAGTCATGTACTCGACGAGTTGGATGAACAACTCGGCGAGTCCGATGAAGATTGCCTTGGGCTCGGCGAGTCAGTCGAATGACTCGGCGAGTCGGCTAGGGTTTTTCCCGAAAGTTTGGACACGCATGAACTCGGCGAGTTATAGGGAACTCGACAAGCCAACCAAGGACTTCATGACTTCTCAAGTTCAGGAAGGACTCGACGAGTCGGTGAACTACACTCGACGAGTCGGGTCAACATGGACTGTTGACTTTGACTGTGGACTTTGACTTTGACCAAGGGTTGACTAGTTGACCTCTGGGGGCATTATGGTAATTTGGAAATTTATAGAAAAGGGTTGTTTGGTAACTATAGGTGGTGGAGTTCGTGTTGGCGATTCGAGAGTTGAGCCTATCACTTCAGTGCGACACTTGGGAGGTGAGTTCTCCTCACTATATCAACAGGGTCTACGGCACCAAGGCTGACCCTTTATGTTAGATTTCATCCTGGTTTAGGATGGTTGCTATGTTATTGCTATGCTAGATTTCATCCTGGTTTAGGATGGTTGCTATGTTATATTTCATCCTAGTTTAGGATGGTTGCTATGCTAGAGATCGGTTAGATCGGTATCCTGGTTAAAGGATGGTTGCCATGTTAGTGATCTGTTAGATCTACATGTTACTTGTTTATTTGTATGTGCACATGTTTGTTGGATTGGGGAAAGGGTTGAGGCAGGTCATGCTGTGTGTGCAGTAGGCCAAGACACCCTGGGCGGACCCGGTAGACTGCAGGCCCGGGCCGGGCAAATCTAGTCAGGCCGAAGGCCCAACGAGCGGTCCGGATAGGCTGAAGGCCCCGAGGAGGGCGGTCCAGACGTGTCGAGGGCTCGAAGAGCGGTCCAGATAGACTGAGGACCGGGAGTCGGTCCAGTCAGACTGATGGCTCATTATGCATGTTG